GAGAGAGAGAGAGAGAGAGGAAGGGGGAGGGATTGCATACCACATGATCTGTGGAGATCGGCTGAGAGTAATATACTTAGTGCAGAAACTACAGATGGAAAAAATTTGTAGTTTACTCCTAAAAGCTGCTGCAAGTAGAGGATTAACCGGGCCAATGCATTGTCAGTACTATTTTCGGACCCTGCCCCTTTATGGGGCACTTCTTCCAGCAGGGAAAGCAGAGTTTGTGGCCTTGAAACTTCCATAGGAAAGAAACCATCTTGACTATTTCTAGCTTTGGAGACCCATCCAAGAATGACTGAAGCTGTAACCCAGCGCAACAACTTTGCAATCAGAGGAATTTCACTCTGGTTTTCCTCGGGAACAATAGCACCAACCTGGTTGAAGTGCCCAAGCAAGTATACTGGTGGACAGTCCGACACCAAAGCTATAGAGATGGCCCATATAATAAAATTCACCAGTTTTCCTTTTTCCTGCAAGCTCAAATCAAATGACAGTTTGTTAGGGGACTCGTGATGAATAAAATAGCATAGAATAGGATAAGATCTTTTGCTTGGGAAAATTTTTGTAGTTTGAAATGTGAATATATTGGTCCAAATAACGCAATCACATAAGCTCATCCATGCCTAAGAACACCCCAAGGAATGCAGATGTGCACATAAAGATATATACTCTAGAGAAAGAGAGAGAGAGAGAGAGAGAGAGAGAGACCAAGCTCGATGTTATCGTTGGTGGTGAACACATAAGTATAAACTTCAGTCCAAGTTCAGCAATGTGAGTGCATTGCATATTGTAAAACACTTCCTCAATAATTTGATATATTTGGATCAATCCCTCAAACGATAAGCTAAAATGTGGCTGATATATCTTCCTCTTCTGGGATATCCTCATGGTTGAAATTAATATGTTCAATATGGATTCTACCAATGGTATATTGTCCTTCACATGTGTCAAGTGATGCCTGATCAGACACAAAAGATGAGATGAAAGTTCTGACAACTGTTCGAGTGCGTGACTTTGTAGCCACAGCATTATACTTCTCACAGAGATGATCTCATTAACTACCTGAAAACAAATCACCAAATATAGTTCGGAGAACAACAGAAATCATTAATCATTTTCTACAGAGCAACACATGAAATATAACAAATCTATAAAATGCCATAATGTTCTAATCACATGCCTCCATGATACAGACACAATCAATGGTGCCACTAAAAATAGAGCTTTTAGTGGAGATTTGGCTCATTCTAGGACAAGCACCAAAAAATTATGCAGATTAAATTGGAAAAAGCGATTTTCTCTTATTTTTTGCACACTTACTTTTTCTAACTTTAGGAAGTTCATCCCCTCTGGGAAATTGTATTTTCCCTTCTTTGTCTTGTCCTGCTTTAGGAAATTCAAGAATCGAGACATTTGATTCAAGAATCGAGACATTGAGAAATTCAAGAACTAGATATGAGCTGGAAAAGAATTTGCTGTATGCTTCCCTTTATGTTTTGTTTTTTTTTTAATTACTGTTTTTCTTAATATACCATCCCTGAACATCAAAGTAATTGGGTTTTTTTCATAAAACTACTATCTGTTGAATTGTCTCTGCAGAGAATATATTCCGTGTAACTTTTTAACCAGCCAAGAAAACAAAAAGCAAAAAGCTTTGGATAAAGCAAGAAAAAAAATGTCTCTTTCCATCCTTTCTCTCTCTCTCCTCAAACACCCACTTGTATCCCTTTCTCACTCTAAACCCATTTCTGTATTTCCATGGCCCCTCAAATTTCTAGTTGCATGAATGCCTCAAAGTGGCCGTTATCTCTCAGAGAGAGAAAACTAAAGAGAGAGATTCCTGTGTTATTGTGAAACTCTACAGCATCCCTCACATATCCTTCCACGAGGACGTCGCCATCAAAGACAATACTGCTGCTTCAATTGAGCCGTGATTGTCCTTAGGTTTTTGGTTATTGCAATTGTGGTGTTCCTAAAATATCTGTAAGTTCCAGAAGAAATGTTCTGGTTTTTGTTTTGTAAATAGAGAGGAAAAAGTGAAAATTCAATTACACTCTATCATTAAAAAAAGAGCAACCTAGTCATTTTTTCTCTGAAAAATCCCACGTAGATATGAGAAAACCAATGTCAAAAGTTAAACTTTGGGAGGACCAATATCTTGAAAAAAAGCATCTGGTACGTTTTTTTCCTTAAAAAGCTTAAAAATATTGAACTTGGGAGTAATGTGAATAGCTATTTCAGTGATTTGTCAAAAATGTTTGAGCAATGCATGTTTATAACTCCCTCATTGTTCCAACAACTTCTGAACAATGCATGTTTATAAGCACATGTAGTTTAACAGTTTATAAGCACATGAAGTTTAACAGTTTATTAGTTTATAAGCACAATGCAGTTTATAAGCACATGTAGTTTAACAGTTTTCATTGATGAATAAAAGTACGATTGTTCGTCGGTACTTAAACAGTTTATTCATTGATGAATAAAAGCACATGTTTATAAGTACATGTAGTTTTCATTGACGAATAAAAGTATGATTGTTCTTCAGTACTTTTAACAGTTTATATGACAGAGCCTTCAACCTATGTTAGAACTACGTCTACTATTGTGCATAAGTTTCTGCGTGTGTATAAACTTGCAATTAAAAATGACAGTCAATGTAATTCCTTGTGCACATCTGTGTGTGTATGTAACACAGACACGCCATTCTCAACTTAAAACTTGAGGATTCATGGAAAAACTTAGGATACAAGGATTGCACATATTCATGGGAAAGGCCAAGTAGGATGACCAGCTACCTAATTGGCTTAAAAGAAACGACATGTTCCCATTGCTCTAAGCTCCGCCAGAAATTTGTGTCGAACAAATTACACTCAAAACAAAATATCATCCTAAACAATACCCAGAATCTTTCAACATTGACAGAGCAAGAGTTCTATTCCCTCGTGACAACAGCATTTTGTTCATCTATGAAAAAAAAAAAGAGAAAAAAAAAGATGAGAGCTAAACCCTTGGCGGGTGCCAAAGGCCCGTGGCTGCCCAGGCGTGAAAATGCCCCTCGTAGAGGGTATTTTTTATTTTTTTTTAATTTAAAATTAAGGTAGACAAAAAAGAGCGAGCAAGGGGGGGGGGTGTTGCGTTTTCAGTTCATATGGAACCAAAACCCCATTTTGTGTCATTTTAGAGTGAGAAACAATAAAAAACTGAAAATTTACAGTTTCCAAAAGATAAATGGATTTATCAAACTTTTAAGAAGTTGATTCAAACATCACCCTTTTAGTTTGGATTTTCTTTTGGAGACTTTTTAAGCTTATTAGGGAGGAAGATTTTGAGATTAGGAAACATCTCAAAGGTGGAAGTTTGAAGATCAAGTAATCAAGATTAATGAAAGAACTTTGTATGTATTATAAATTGCTTAGGTTAGTTTGAGATATCTTCTTCGGGTTAGAAGTGGTGATCTGGGTTGAAAATATGGCTATAACCGGAATCCTTTAGATAAAATTGTATAAGATTCAATTGTTGTGAGAAGGATATAAATGGGGGTACAAACCGATTCAAAAGACATCTTGCCGATATCAAGGGGGAACGTTGCCCCTTGTAAAAAGGTTACTAATGCAATTAAGGAAAAGATAAAAGATTATATGAAACTAATCACAAAAGAAAGAGGAAAAAGAGGCATGCATAGCAGAGCTAGGTTTTGGGGTTCATGTATAGGAAAGGAAAGGGAGTTGCAGTTGTGGATTTGGGGGTGGGAGGCCTAAGAGACCTTGGGTTAGGGGCCTATGAATTATTTTTTGCCCCGGCCTAACCCTGAAGTGGCAGGTGAGAAAACCAAGAAGCAAACAACCATTGAAAACATAATCAAGAAGTAAGAGAAAGAGAGAGAGAGAGAGAGAGAGAGAGAGAGAGGAGAGGAGAGAGAGAGAGATGAGAGAGAGAGAGAGAACTACCCAGTATATTGCTCGGTGGTTTTATGAGGCAGGCATTCCGTTCAATGCCGGTTGTCTAAGCAGCTTCTACACCTTGGTAGAGGCAATTAACCAATTTGGGCTTGTGTTGAAGCCTCCAACCCAATATGTACTTTCCGAGCCTCTTTTGAAAAAAGAGGTGAATGTCATGAGGATGCATGAGCTCAGCATCGGGTGTCTATTATGACCGTTAGTTGGACTGACAAGAAGAGAAGAAGTCAAAAGAATTTGTTGGTGAATTTTCCTTAAGGGATTGTTTCGTTGAGGTAAATCGATGCCTCTAATGATAGCCATGATGCCCATTACATATTTGAAGTGTTTTAGAAGGGCATCAAGGAGGTTGGGGAGCAGCATGTTATCCAAGTTGTCATAGATAACGCTACTCCTAATGTTGTTACCGCTAATTTGTTGTGCCTAGCCTACCCTCATATCTTTTGGACACCATGCGCAACATACTGCATAGACCTCATGCGTGAGGCTACATTGGCGGTATGAGCAAGATTGCAGGTGTAGTTAAGAAAGCTAGGTCAGTTACAGCTTTCATTTATAGTCACACCTTCACGCTCAACATATTTACATAAACGAAGAAGATAGTGAGGCCAGGGGTCACAAGATTTGCTACCTGGTACTTATGTCTACATAGTATACATTCGAGAAGAGTCTAGTTGAGGTAGATGTTCACCTCTGATGATCGGAGAATACAACTGGGCCAAGGATCAGAAAGGGAAGAAAGTGAGATATTGTACTATCTAAGGCTTTTTGGCGAGGGGTGAAAGGCGCTCTTAAGGTATTGTTTCTTCTTGTCAAAGTCATTCACATAGTTGATAGTGACAAGTCCTCCATCGGCTTCATATATGAGGCAATGGAAAGTTGCAAGACAGAAAGCACATAATTTGGATAATGATGTGAGCCACTATGATCCAGTTTGGGTAATTATTGATGAGAAGTGGGACAGGCAGCTACATAGACCATTGCATGCAGCTAATTATTATTTTAACCCAGCTTTTTATTATGTTGATGGCAATATACAGACAAATGATTCAATTATGACTGGATTTAATAAGTTCCTGGATGTGCTTGTCCCTAATCAGGACATCCAAGACATTATATGCACTGATGAACTAATAAGTTACAAGTGCACATTGAAGTCTTTTGGGAGTGCAATGGCAATAAGACAAAGGAACAAAAGTGATCCAGATAATGATATACTTAACTCAGTCTTCAAGTTCAAGTTCCATGTTTGTTGTTTGTTCTCTATAATTCATATATAATCGTAATTCATAATCAATTTGTAGCCAATTGGTGGATCCAACATGGATGTATTACTCCAAACTTACGAAAATTGGCCATTCAGATCTTGAGCCTAACCACTACCTTGTCCAGTTGTGAGCCGAATTGGAGTACTTTTAAGATGGCAATTTATTTTGTTAGTTTATAGTTTACTAATTTGTAATAGTAATTACATATGTGGATATTTGTATTAGTAATTACTGATGGCTATGTCAATTGTAATATTAATTAGTTTCATTTGATTTTATTGTATGTATTTATAATTTGTCATACAGATTCATACAAAGAAAAGAAACAAGATTGAATTACATAGGCTAAATGACCCAGTTTATGTCAAGTTTATATGATACTTGAAGGAGTGATTTACTAAGAGAGATAAGAGACCCTCTCAAAACAAAACACATGGACAATGCCATGGAGTAGTTGGTTGATAATGACGAGGTAAAGGGGTATGAAGGATCGACATGTGATATGGTCGTGGAGGTCCAAAGACAAAAACAACTCTCCTAGAGCCATTAGATCATCTTCATAGTGGATGAGGGTGGAGAAGGATGAGGATGAAGTAGAGACAGATTCAGAAGAATAGAGGAGGACGACCATTATATTGAGGAGGGATTTGATTCCAATGATGATGGGCTCAGCTCTGATGCATACGATGCAAGCATGCAACTGACCCTACATTTTCTGATGATGACTGAAGACTCTTTGAGTCTTCAAGTCTCTATTTTTTTCATTTTACTTTTCCTCCTCTCATATGTATGCATGGACTATGGAGTATATGCCCATATGGAGTCATAGAGATTGGAG